TTTAACAGTTTGGGTTAGTTCCATATTTTGGCCTTCAAGCTCTGGGATTATATCTTCTGCTGAGTTAATTCTGCTTTCCATGCTTGTTAGTTTTTTATTTAATTTTATTTACTGTATTCTTTATTGTCATCATCTCAGTTATCAACTCCTTCATTCTTTCATCTTGTCTTTCTTCATTTCTGTTTATCCTTTCCATCAATGTCTTGATATCTGGATTTGTGTTTTGAGACCAGTTGTCCTGGGGATCTTTGTTGTTTAAGTTCTGAAGTCTGTATTCTCAGATGCTGTCTTTCCAGGGGTCTTCAGTGTACCTATGTTCTTCTGCTGATTCTTCTTCATTTGTGATGGTTCCCCCCTACTTTAATTCTGTTGCTCAGTGATAGGATGTATAGCTTTCACTTCTGTTTGCTCAGTCCCCCATTCTTCCTTATGTAGATCCTCTGAATTTGTCCAAATTTGATGCTGGACTTAGGGTGGGGAGCTGTGTTTTCCTTTTGCAGTTTTGAGATTTGATTAAAGTGTAATAGGGGAATTATGGTTCAGAAGCTATCTGCAGATCACAGAATCTGCTGACTGTTGTGTGGGCCTCCTGGAACCCACTTCCCACCATCTTGCAATCTGTCCATGTGGTGGGAGCATATGTATGCCCCTTGGATTCAAAATGAGATGTGGAAAAGGAAAAGAACAAAGAAAGGAAGAAGGGAGATGAAAGGGAAATGAAGAGAAAGAAGAAGAAGAAGGAAAATAGACAGGTATACAAAATAATGGATAAACAAAGAAACAAACAATAACAAAAAACAAAAACAAACATCCAAACTGAAAAAAAAATCCAGTGGTGCACTCACCTTCAAAAAATACCCATATGCAAACAAAAACCAAAACAAACAAACAAACAAAGCAAAAACAAAGGAGAAAAGGGGACAAACTAAGTCAGAAGACACATACAGGAAGATATGCATGAAAAGAGCAGGCAAAAAGGCTCCCTCTTGAACCATTTCTGGAACTTCAGAATTCTTCCCTTCTTTTTTTTTTTTTTTTTTTTTACTGGTAGGTCCTACACAGCACACCACAGCTTTTTGTTGTCCCCACAGTAGGGTTTGGTTTCCAGCCCCTCCCCTCTGCTCTCAGCACAGGCTGATCAAGTTGCTCTCAACATGGGTCATATGCTTTCCAGGCAGCTATGGAAGGAGGGTGAATCAGATGCAGACTCACCCCAACAGTGCCTGCTGCTGCTATTGCCACCAGTTCTCCCACTCAGATCAGACATGCCCGTGCCTAGTCCAGCATGGGAGTGGGGTATCTGTCTCTCCAATACCCACTCCTAAAGTTGCCTTTCTGGGCCAGTGACAATCTCAGAGGGATGTAGAAATCACTTCTCAGTCTCAGTTGGAGGCTGATCAGAGTTGGGGGGCCAAAGTAGGTCTCTGCCCCTTTGGGGACAGAGAAAATGTCAGTAGTCTGGGTCTTCCTCTCTGGTGGGACTCAGCTCCAGATTTCCTCCCCTGCCTTCTCCATGGTTCTGCTGCCAGTGCCTGGTCAGCAACTGCAGGTGGTGACCCACTGCTGCAGGTGGTGGTGTGGGCCGGGTGCAAGCTGCCAAGGGGTAGCAGATCTCTGCTGTCTTCTCCTGAAAGACACCTTGAGAATGGCAGACAATTCAGTGCAGGGAGTGCTAATAGAATGGACATTTTTAAAATATTAATTTAAAATATTAACTCTTCTAATCTGTGAACACAGGTTATTTTGCCACTTATTTGTATTTTCTTCAATTTTTGTCAATGCTTTATATGTTTTCTGGTAGAAATATTTCATGTGCTTGAGTAAATTCATTTCTTTATGCTTAACATTTTTGTAATTATTATTGTAAATGGAATTGCTTTTATGATTTATTTTTCAGATTTTAATTGGCATTGAAATGTTACTGATTTTTATATGATGGTTTCATATCCTGCTACTTTGCTGAATTCATTTATTAATCTAACAGTATTTTGGTCGAGTCTTTGTGATTTTTTTACATTTCAGACCATGTTTTCTTGAAACAGAAACAATTGGATTGTTTCTTTTCTATTTGTACTTTTTTTTCTCTCTTTGTCTTACCTTATTGATATGGTTAGGATTTCTAGTACTATGATGAATAAAAGTGTTGAAAGAGGGCATCTTTTTCTTGTTCCAGGTCTTCGAAAAAGGGGCTTCAACGTTTTTCTGTTTAGTGTGTCATTGGCTGTGGGTTTGATCTATACAGTCGTAGTTATATTCGGGTATATTTTTTCTTTCTAATTTCTTGAGTTTTTTTAAAAATCATGAAACAATATTGAATTTATCAAATGCATTTTCTATGTCAACTGAAATGATCACATGGTTTGTGTACTTAATGATGTTTATGTGGTATATCCTGTTTATTGCAGGTATGCTAACCCACCTTTGCATCCCTGGAATGAAGATGAATCCCCTTGATCATGTTGAACAACCTTTTGATGTGTGATAAACTCTCTGTGCTTTTGCTTGTCTGGAGGAGTCTTAATCTCTCTTTTGTTTCTGAATGATACCTTTGCTGCATACAGTGTTCTTGATCTCCAATGTTAGAGTCTCACTCTGTCACCCAGACTGGAGTGCAATGGCCGCTCCCAGCCACTGAAGCCTCGACCTGTTGGACTCCGGCGATCCTTCCGCCTCAGCCTTCCAAGAAGCTGGAACTACAGGTGTGCGCTACCATGCCCAGCTAGTTTTTTTGATTTATAGTGGAGATGAGGTCTTGCCAAGTTGCCCAGGTGGGTCTCGAACCCGTGGGCTCAGGCAATCCACTCACCTCGGCCTCCCAAAGTGCTGGGATTACAGGCTGAGCCAACGAGCCTGGCCTCTCTGCTATTTTTCATCTATACTTTTACTGTTGTCTTTTTATAGTACTTGAGATGTATTCATAACATCTGCTTCTATATAGATTTTCCCACATATTCCCTTACAATAATTCCTTTAAATACTTGGATACATTCATAAGATTTGCTTTGAAATTCTTTTGTGATAATTCTACAGTCTAGGATTTCATGAATCTGTTTCTATTTATTGTTTTTCATTAGCTATGAGTCATTTCCTTCTTTTTAGTAACTTTTTATTACATGCTGGACATTTTGAATGATACTTTCTGGGGAGTCTGGATTATGCTATCTTCATTTAAAGACATTGGCTATTATTGTAGCAGGTAGTAAAATAACTGACATTGTTTTACATTCTATTGGGCTTAGTAGAATTCTTTCTCATGAATTAATCTCAGTTTGAAATTTGGTCTTTGGGCACATTTTGGAATTTAGTAGTCATCCCAGAATATCTGCAGTGACATGAAAGTTCACCCTGTCCTGGCTGAGTGGGAACATCAGCTTCCCTATTCCTTTACAATATGTAATATTTACCTCCAGTTTTCAATTCTCCAGCAGTCATTCTCTAAGAGGTTTCATGGACCTTCCTCCTGAACATGTGCTACTCAGCCTACAGCCATTGACTTACAGAGAATGCACTTGTACACCTTAGATACTTCTTATTCACAGAACCATCCTTTCCTCTATCCTTCCTTACAAATTCTAGCTACAAAATTCGGATCTCTTAGCTTGAAAAGAATGGCATTTTGTTTGGCCCTCACCATCCTGCTCTATAAAAGGAAATTATTTTCAAGCAGAAATTCAAGGTGATTGTAGGTCTAATTTTCCATCAGCAAAGTATCATAATCTTGGATTGCCTCTTGTCCAATAATGGAAAAATGTTACATCACTTATTTTTTCTAGAATTATATTTGTTTAATTGGGAAGGCGCCTCCAAAGCAGTTACTCTGTCATAACTAGAAGCAGATGGTCCCCCCACCCAAAAGAAGTATCTTGCCACAAATTGACGTTATATGAAAACTTTTTTGAGGGCTGACCATAATATTTTTCTGTACTCCATGATCAGGGCAGGATGTATGATCATCCAGGTGAGAAAATGAATTACAAGAGTAGCTGTGTTACAGGGAGGAAGAGACTAAAAATTCAGTTTCTCTTGTATTTGTTCACATGAACATGATGGTTTATGCATTTGACCTACAGGGTTCGTATAATGAGAACTGCAACATGTTTTGGGAGAGGTCATACATTATAACAGATAACATTTAGACAGAACTGAATTTGAAATTTGTCTCTGCTATGTAAATAAAAGCATGATCTTTATTAAGATGCCAAATATTGAGAATGTGATAATTTCATGATAACACTAATAAAAACCTCTTTTTACTGAGCATTTGAACATATGTTTATCTTTGTGTAAAGTGTACCCCATATGTTATCTCACTGTGTATATATAATAAACAAATATAAATATGTTATTTGCCTGTTGTTAGTGATAAAAGTAAGGCATTGGAATGTTAAATGACTTAGCTATGCTCACAGAGCTTAATCTGATGCAGAAAACAATTTGACTGATTCTGAAAGCTAAACTCTAACTCATTATGAAACACTATATCTCTGAGTTTTGGAAAAAGATACAAGAAATAAAAAATGCATTCTCCTTTCCACCAGATTATGTACAAATTCAACTGAAAGAACATACCAGGAAGAGAGATCATTATGAATTTCTCATCTTCATGGGAAATTGAATGTTGTTTCAAGAATAAGGGCTTGAAGAAGTCCTCATACTTGGTTCCACGGGAATAAGCTGAATTTTTAGTACTGTAATTTATTGCTCAAAGGCAATTTTTTCTAGGGAGCTGTCGTGATTTTCTGCAGAGTCAATGCGGGTACCAGACTATTTCCTCTGGTCACGATGGCCTTGCATCAATGAACAGTGCCTAAAATAAGCATTCTGTGATTTAAGACCCACTAGGCTTGGTCATAACTTGGCTCTGTGAGCAAATATATTCTTTTTTTAACCTCAATCTCCTTGTCTATAAAACTATAAGATTAGATAAAGGATCTCTTTTATTTGTTTCAAGCTCCATGGCCTCTTTTATAATCCTTTTTACTTGTTTCTCTTCCTATCAGGGCACAAACATATTAACACATCTGACTTCTGTCCTGCATAATGAAAAAGAGTTTCCTAACCCAGAGAAGTTTGACCCTGGCCACTTCCTGGATGAAAGAGGCAACTTTAAAAAGAGTGAGTACTTTATACCTTTTCCAGCAGGCAAGCAAGCTTTCTTTTTCCTGTACATCAGGAGTCAAATGATATGAGGAAGAAATTTGCTTGGAGGATACTGGACTGGACAAATTGCCATTTGTAGGAAACCAGAAGAACCATTCCCAAAGTCCAGGTTGTTTCTCATTGAACTGTAGGCTACTCACTGATTCTGCTCCTCATCCACCACTGAGGTCCTCAAGAGCTCCTCCTAGAAATCTCTCTCTACTAAGATTTTTTTCACTCACCCTGAGAAGCCAGTTCAGTCAGTAAACATCACTGAGCACCTGATAGGTAGCAATCCCATGCTTAGATCCAGGAATACAAATGTGAATAAGAAAGATACCTTCCCTCTAAGAGAGAGGGAGACAGTAAGAAATAGATCTTCCCTCTAAGAGAGAGGAAGACAAATTTGCAGGCATTGAGACTCTAGTGTGACAATACTACACTTGTGGCTTCTGTGAAGTCCAAAGAGTGGAGCTCCTGACTGGTTTTCCTGTGAGGAGGTAGGAGCAGAGTAGTGGGAAGGTAAGGGAAATTTTCTTGCAGGAGGTGACATTGAGTATCTTCCTTCCATTTTTGAGAGTCTGTTTGGAGGTTCTAGCATGGGAGCGCAGCTGCTTGTATACTTTTGACCAAACAGTCCTCCTGTAGCAGGAATGGTCATCCTCTTTGACCGAGTGTACAGATTCAGCAAGAAGGCACATGGAGTTGTGAGGGAGGAAGGGGATACCTGCTAGGCCAGCCAGATCAGCCAAATCGATCCTGGTGATCAATGGGGTGGCAGAAATCACAGCCAGATTGCATTCACATCCTCTTCCTTCCATGTTTAAGGGTCCTGGAAAGAAACAGGTGGCACACTCAAAAAGGTCAATTAAAGAGTTTAATAAAGAGAGGAAAAGGGAAGTAACAAAGTGTGGTAAAGTACTCAGGATCAACATCAGGAGAAGATGCCACCATCCTCGGTCAAAAGGAAGCAAGGGAGACAGGGTGTTATTGGAATTTGAATAAACCCTTATTCAGTGCAGGGGACTTTCCCCTGCAGATACCGGGGGTCCCTGGGGTTTGGTGATTAAACTGGAGGGATAGATATTAAAAGAAAGAAAGATGGAGGGATAGACATAAAGAGAAAGAAAGAAAGGGAGGAGAAAGAAAGAGAATGGACTCTGTCTAGTGCAGAAGCCGTTTAATGGGACAAACCATAGGTCTTTTATCCCAAATTTTCACAGGTTAAATCACAAGACTGTCACGTGAACACAAAGCCAGGTGGATGAGGGGTGTCCCACACCCACCAGGCGTTTTCCCAAGCATAAGGAAAGGCAATCCCAAAATTATCTCACTGTTCCTTATGCTTGGTTAATGTTCCTCAAAAGCAATACAACAATTCTAGCATCATAATATACTAATAATCAATAACTTCTAAAGCTTATGCATACACAACACCTAATGACTAACTTAAATCCTAATACCTTTCTATTCTGTGCTAATTCTACCTACACTGTAGAAACTCTTAATTATAACTCAAACCAGTTCCTAAAGAATGTGGCCCAGTCCAAAGATCACGCTGGGCCATTTCTAGGAACAGTTGATTACAATCTCTTAACAAAATGGCTATTCTAAAATCCTATATATCTATCTTAATTTCTATAAAAGTTTCTAATTCCTAATCCTAATATATAAAGCTGATCATCAGCAATAAAGTTTCTAAAAATAAAACCCAAATATAAACTGTAAATTGTACTAAGGCCAAAACCACAATAGTAGAAAATGGGAATAATGAAATTTCTAAAGTTAGCTATATTCTTATTAAACCTCAAAATATCATGCTTGAACTAACAATTCCCTGACATTAGCATGACCTATTCTACAATATTTCTATGAGTAAAATAAATTCAATTTCTATAAGTAGAAAATCCCTACACTAACTGTAGCAAAAACCAGTTTAAAAGAATGCAGCCCAGTCCAAAGTACATGCTGGGCCCTTAGGAATGTGCCCCAGTCCAAAGTTCGTGCTGAGCCATTTCTAGTAACTCTAGATAATCATCTATACCATCTAAAGCTGAAAATAGCTCTCCATATGTATATACTAATTCCACAATATATATACTTTTAAATCTTATAAAGAGGCTTGTACCGTATTAAAGGCTCCCAAATGTGACCTGAGTTTGAATTATATCTAATACCTAAGCCGAAACCGCAGTTCATGGGAAACAGGAACAATGAGTTTCTAGAGTGAGCCATGCCTGTCACAGTCACAGAGCCTTCAGTTTAGGTCAACAGAGTTCCTTTTGGCTGAGTGTGCCAAACAGAAAAAGGGAGGGGGGAATGGGGTCAATAGCTCCCCAACACAACCTAGTGGTCTCAGGGTCCACGGCCCTCCCTGATCCCTAACGCTCAGTGGGCCTCCGTGGCTGGCTCCCAACAATTCAGGAAAGAGTGAATGCCTCAACAAAAGAAGCATCTATATGGAGAGGATTACAGCCACTGCCAAAACTGTGACCTGGCAGAGTGGAATTGAAGGAATGAGTACTCTAACCTTTTCAACATCTCAGCCTCTAATGTATTCAGAACCCAGAAGGGAACTAACTCCTGGGATAATGCAGTCCATAGAATTCAGTTTCCTGAGAAAACATAGGCACAAGAGGCAAGCAAATACAGAATGGTACCGGAAAAAAAAACAAAAAAAAAAAAACAGAATATTCAGCACACTGAAAAGAAAAAGCAGGAAGGAGATTATAGAGTAAATACCTTTCCTCCAGGAGAAACAGACAAAACCAAAAATAGACAAAAGAGGTTTACTCCTGACTGAGTATCTAAGAAAAATAAGCATCAAAGGACCCTTGGTACTGTGGCCCCAAGATTATATTCAATGCTCAGGGATGACCTCAAAACAAACCCTTACTATACTATACTGCCTTTTACCTGCATCCCTGTATTGTGGAGTCTACTGTTGCATAATGAGCCTGCTCAAGATTTTTATTCATTTCAAGTGGTGCCAGGCTACCTCCATGTCGTAACCCTGTGGATAGTACTGTGGATATTACATCTGAGGGCTTTTGTTTTTTTCCCATTTTTTGTTTTTTGAGTTGGAGTCTCACTCCATCACCCAGGCAGGAGTGCAATGACATGCTCATGGCCAACCCAGTGTTGACCTGCTGGGCTCAGGCTATCCTTCCACCTCAGTCTTCTAAGCAGTCAGAACTACAGGCATGTGCTACCATGCCCAGGTAATTTTTTGATTTATTGTAAAGACGAGGTCTCACCAAGTTGCCCAGGCTGTTCTTGAACACTTGGGCTCAGACAATCCCCTCACCTCAGCCTTCCAAAGTGCTGGAATTGCAGGCTTGAGTTTGGTCACTTTTAGAGTTTATATTCAAGTCTGTGAGACACATGAATAACTTAAATTTCATGTACCATATTAGAAACAATAATGAATATTGTAGAAAATAGTTAAGGGACTACATTGCATACACTGAGCATGTCAGAGAAGTTTTCATAGAATAAATAACAGCTGAATCAGAAAGGATAAGAATTTAGAAGTAATATATCAAAACATATCATACATATTTTGCAAGGAATATAAATATATGTATTTTATAATATCCTGTTGCATGACTTTTCATTTTTTTCAGATTTTCCTATGGAAGTATGCATAGATTAATTTTAAACTTGTGTTATTATACAAATGATATCAGAGGAGAAGATCATTCCAGATAGAAGAATACCTAGAATCAGAGATAAAAATTGAAATTGTCTGTCTGTTTTGGGAGTGGTGAATAGTTAGTAATAGCTGGACTTTAGGGAATTAAGTGAAAGGAGTAAAAAGAAATGAGGTTCTAAGAAATGCTTTCGGCCAGTTTGTGACATTTCTTCTTATACTTAGTAGTGATAAGCTCTTGAAATTTTTCAAGCATGTACGTGACCTGGTTAAAATTGTCCCTTAGAATCCAGATGAGGACAAATGTGTTATTGAATACGGAGTCAGAAGTAGATGGAGAAGAAGATATTGTTGTGCTATGAATCATGCCAGTTGGAATAGGTGTGTGTGTGTGTGTGTGTGTGTGTGTGTGTGTGTGTGTAGAAAGTGTCACTGGTAAGCCTCAGCACAACAGTTTCGATGTGCATGTACAGATAAGATTTTTTCATAGAGTGCACACACACATATATGTGTTGAGGAAATGAAAGAAACCAGGTTTAGGTGTAAAAAGAAAAAGAAGGAGACAGGCTAATTCATCATTCATTAATATATTTCTTCATATCATATTTATTTAAGCCTCCCCGTGTGCTAACTCGAAATGGAATTAAGTGAATAATTGATTTATGTGTCTTTTTAGGAAAAAGAGCTTGTGCTGGAGAAGGCCTGGCCCGCATGGAGCTGTTTTTACTCCTGACCACCATTTTACAGCACTTTACCTTGAAATCTCTGGTTGCCCCAAAAGACATTGACGCCACCCCAGTTAACAATGGGCTAGGTTCTGCACCACCCTCCTGTGAACTCTGTTTCATTCCAGTCTGAAGGAAAGGAGGCTGACAGACTGCAGAACAAGATCCTCCAGTCTCTTATGAACAAGTCAGATGCTTTCTGGACTGTGAGTCCTTATCCCTTAGAAATCAATGTGGGTATTATCCACCTCTTCCTTAACTTTTTAAAAAATGTTTTATAGCTTTACTGGGCCCCCTTTCTTCTCATTTTTCCCATCTTTCAATAGTAAGTGCAAATTTCCCTACATGAAAAAAGTTCACTTTTTCATCTCCAATAAAATACTTTTTGCAACACAATCCCAAGATCATTGACTGCATCTTTTCTGCAGGGTATTTCAAATGGAAAACTCACTATAAATGTCATATTTTGATTTACTATAAATTAGAGACCATAAAATAGCTTATGAGTTTTTTTTCAATAGTTGAAATAAGCTATAAAATGTGCTCATCTTTAACTTGAATCTAAGTCTCCAGTGGAATGAATTCTAGAAGTTTGGCACGTACACTTTCTTTCTTCAATGGTTATTCAAATATAATTATGTGTATATGTATATGTGTGTGACATGCCTATGTAGGTATGTATGTATAGGTGTGTGACATGCAGGGAGAAAACAAGGGAGAACCATTTCAGCTGGAAGGAATAATACAAACTAAAACTTGCATTAGTCAGTCTGTCCAAGGAGGTCCTTCCTTTTCCTCTCAGGGAAAATTAAATAAAGACACAAGTGTGCACACACACACGCGCGCACACACACACACACACACACAGGGAGACAGAAGGAATTATATAGACATGATACAGCAAAAAAAAAAGGAAATATGTACATATGATGATTGCTGATATTGAACACACACCAACAGAAATATATATGTGTGACCTTTTATGTGTGTATGTAAAGTGTTGTTATGATTTAGAGGTAATATATGTAAAAACATATCATACATATTTTGCAAGGAATAAAAATACATGTATTTTGTAATATCCTATTGAGTGGCTTTTCATTTTTTTCAGAATTATTTTCCTATTTAAGCATGCATCCTTGTATTAATATACAAATGCTACTATCTGCACATATCTTTTATTATTCATTCACTATTTCTTCAAGATGATTTCCTAGATGTGCAATGGCTACACCATAGTGTATATAAACTTTGTTTTTTGTAATACTGAAACATAGTGCACCAAAAATTACATATATATCAGCCTATTTTTCTAACATGAGTGTCATAGAGAGACTATGTGTTCCAGTCCTTGCAAATATTAGGAATTTAATTCTTTGGTAGATTTATAAAATTTAGGTTACTTTTTGTGAAATATTAAAGTAGAAAATCCTACCATATGCAAATAATATTTCAGTCTAGTGACAGGAAATTTCCAGAAATAAACTCAACTGCAAACCTATGTTGATATTTGTTTCCATCTCTGTCTCTTTCTCTCTCTCTCAGTGAGTCATCTCTCTCTTGCACAGGTATATTCGTTTATCAGTATGGAAAAGTGACCAAATTGTACAAGTTTGAGGGCATACCTTGTGTTTTCAAAAGAAGACTTAGGAAATGATGGCAGATTTGAAATCAGGAGCTGAGAGGTGAAAATGCTGATTACAAAATTTCAGCTTTAGAAATTGAAAATAATTTGTGGAAGATCCCAAGCATTAGAAGAAAATAATTGGATTTTAGAGCTTGTCAAATAGAAAAGACCAAGTAAACTCTTTGACTTTTGCTAAAGACTGAAGGTTGCCTTGTAGATTTCAACTGAAGATGAAGTCTGAGAGATTAAGTCTGAAGATTAAGATTTCTTATAAGACCTTAGTCATGCTTTAAATAATTCCAACCATTGACTGCCTTCTGTTGATCCACTCCTAAGTATATTCTGTTTGCTGGATGCATATGCTTGAGTAGAGATAGGTAATGTCATCATGTACCTCAAATTGTTATTGCATTATTTGATGTTCAATGCAACAAACATGATCATCTCAATAAATGTCTAAAATTTTTAACAAAGTTCAAAACCTCTTTATGATAAACATCCTCAGCAAACAAAAAAGCATGAAATCACTTTATTCTAATAGAAAGCATCTTCAAAATCTTATGAACTATATTTTTAATTGAATAGAAAATATTGAATCCTTTCCCCCCAAATTGAAGTCAAAGTAAGGCTATTCACTCTCATTAGTTCTATTCAATATTTGACTGGATGATGTTAGCAAAAATGCTGGAGTAGGAATTCCTGAAAATTCTTTTGGACAAAACAATGAGAGCACAGCAAAAAGTGTCAGATTAACTGGCAGAACTCAGGAAGTTAGTCAAAGCTTCCAGAAATCTTCAGAGTGTTTATTCACACACACACAAAAAGGATCAATCTCAGTATAAACAGTGTGCTATATGCTAAATTAACTTGCCTTATTTTCTTCCCTATCTCCTCATGGTTGAGATAGCCTTGAAAAACCATGACCCACAATTTTGGTGAAAAGTAGCCACCTCCTAACCTCTGGGAGGAACAGAATTGAATGAAGCTCGTTCTGAGTGAGCACAGGAATTGGGTGCAGGGTGTTACATTACCAAATAGTCCTCAGAGAGCTGTCATTATTTGACTGTTCTTGTGGTTCTCTGAAAGTTCCCATATACAGAGCTGTATTCATTAGACATAACTCTGAGCTCATCCAGTGCAAACAGCCTTTTTCTCAGGGGCATCTGTTGAAAACAGAGGAATTTGGGAACATAATGGATGTGTGGACAAAAGTTGGAAAAAATCTATAATCTAACAACAAAGATTAAAAGAAAAAACTAGGAAATGAGATGATCATGAAAAGCTTTGAAGAGTTCTGACAAGTTTCTGGATCACTAGATGACCACACATGCTCAGAGTGAACCCGAGAAGGTCCTGAGCTCTGTCTAACATTGAGGATCTGTGTGAGCAAGAAGTGAAAGCTAAGGCAGAGTTATAGACTGCTTAAATGAGTGTTGAAAGCATGCCCCAATGTACATAAAAAACCTCCAGAGAGATGGAAAATATTTTTTCACAAAATAAAACATACGCTGTAACTCTATCTTTGACATAAGGTGAAGTTAATTTTTAAAGCTCTGAAATAACATACACTGAAAGAGTGCCATATTGACCTGACATGGTGGCTCACATCAGTAATCTCAGCACTTTGGAATGCCAAGGTGGGATAATTACTTGAGGTCAGGAGTTAGAGGTTACAGCAAGCTATGATCACTATGACCACTGCACTCCAACTTGGGCAACAGAGTGAGACCCCGTCTCTATAATGGTAACAAAGATTTGCCATGTATGAAATCAAACATATCATCATTTCTCACAGTTGAATTAAATATCTCATCCTGCGTCATTTAATGTCTTCCAATTACCCATTCACACACTCTGCCTTTATTTACACTATGCTCTATCCAAAAACTTTCTGCAAATTTTTTTTTAAAAGTTTTAAAGGAGGCCACTTTTTACAACACAGTCTTATTAAATGGCAAAGGAGTCTGTGTTCATGCTGTATATAATCTCCATATTCATGAGATGATGTCTTTCCAATATCTTCCATAGGAAATATACACAGATGGTTAGCAACATTAGTTGTGAGAATATTTTCCCATGTAAATGATTGTAAAAATTCCTTTAAAATATTATACTTTATGATTTTTTTTTATTTTTAAAAAATCTATTTGGGGGAAAAAATACTTGGGTCAGAATGGAACTAAAGAATGGAGTTCCACATCTGGTTAGATAGTAGATTGTCACAAAAGCACATGTTCCCATAGTATAGCATCAAGGAAACACTGGATAAACAACATGACCATATTTATCTAACAGAGAGTTAAGGCTGCAATTCAATTATGAAGGAGTATAAGTTCTTTCTAGATTAGCCATTTTCATAGTAGTTCGAAGAAATCAGAAAATTTTGTATGCAAAATTGAGTCGACTAATGTGACCAGCAATAATCTGAAGGAACCCTAAACATATACTAGGTATGGCATTCACCACTGAGAAAACCATGTCACACTCTTTTTCCTTTTGATAAGTTGACAGGACACAAAGGAATCTCTATGAGAGCTCAAGGACTATCCTTTGCTCTGACAAAATCATTAGAAACAGAATTTCCACTCTATGTAAAAAACAGGATTGATGCGAGGCTTTTCCTAGATAACATACCAATGAGGTATTTATTACAGGGTATCACAAACCCTGTGATTTGTAAACACTAAAGGTATCCTTGAGCCTCTCACAAAGGTCATAAGTAGTCCTGACAGTGTTTCTTAAGGTATAAACCCTTGCCAAATCACTCGATGTTAAAAAGGGCTCTCAAGTCAGTCCTGTGTAACCTGGGGGAAGCTCACTGGCTCTTCTCATTATGGTAGCAGATACCAAAGATCACATGAAGACAGACCAGCATTCTAGAATAACTTGGCCAAATGGTCACAAAATGAAGCCCTATATTTGCCAAAACTGAACAAAAGACCTCCTGTACCAGACTTAGAACCTATCCTGTTCCTATGACTGACAGGTACACAGGGAAGATGGAAATACATAGATGTCAAGGTAGACAAGGCACGAAAAATCCCACTAAAGTGGTCACAGATTCAACTGGGACTTTACTCCTGAATGAAATGTATTCATGGCAAGTTGTATAAAAGATTCCTACCTAGAAGGCCAGGGAAATGAGGACTTGGATACTTAGTGCCTTCTGTCAACAGGTAATTCACTTTAAATGATAGATAGATTACAAACCTGGGGTGTTTTGTTCATAAGGTAGTACTGCACAAATGTACTAGATGTATTATTGAAAACCCACTAATATATCACAATTCTAAGTTCTTTTTAATGTTAAGAGCTTATGTTCCAAGCATTGTGTTTATGAGATAGAAAAGATTGTCCTAAATCTTTCCAGAGTAGGAGAGCAACAGTGCAATATTACTATATTAGCATTGGAAGCACTCCAATCAGAATTTGATAGTTTAGCCTCTGTTGTATTTTAGAATTTTGGTGACCTGGCTGCACTGACAGGTCAACAGGGATGAGACTCT